ATTATTGTAGTGGCACCCGCCTGCTGATGCTCAACCAATGGTTGGGAACGTCCACGTTCACCAGCTCATTCGAGCCAGGTGCGAGCACGTCCAACCTTCTGGCTTCTAGGGTAGGGGTTTAGGGTTTAGGGTTTAGGGTAAAATAGGGATATAGTCCCCGTTGTGTAGATAGAATATGGCATTGGGTATATTGAAATGAGATCCCAATATATCCGATATTCTATCTACTTGAGGGGGACTATACATAAAGTGAAGCGACATGTCCCCAATGATGGACAATAGATTGGAAAAGCAAATGAAAATGAATTGGAAACTGGTGGATGCATAGTGACATGTAGGGTTTCAGGAACGAATGAACGAAAAAGAAAATGGAAACTATGACAGCTATTGATGATTCTACGGAGGCTGTTCTAAGGATCCAATCATCTAGTGCCTACGAGCAGCCAGGAAGCCTTGCGCCTCAATTAAAGTGCATGTCGGAGGGTTCCTCAAAGGATGCTACAATGCACGTTTATGGTTAGGGCCTATCTAGGGTTTGGGGACTAGGGCTTAGGGTTCAGATTTAGGTTTTAGGGTCTGCATCGTGGTTGCAGCAAAAACAATAGCGACAGTACCTTTGCATGCTTGCGGGGAAGGGACGAGTGCATCCTTCCAACCTGTCCCCCAATCCGAAACCCAATACCCTAAACACTACTTGAGCAAAACTAAGCATACTGATATGTAGACCCCTATTAGCCGCCGCTATACTACGGCCCCTCGGGCTCCCTCTAGGGTTATGGGTTTGAGTTTGTTCGGGTTTTTGTGCCTAATTAGGACTTAGGATTAGGATTTAGGATTTTCGGGTTAAGGGTTCAGGGAGATTCGTGGTAGAATGAGGGAAGTGCAGGCGGAACAATGAAATACACTGCTGAGGCCGTCTCTGCGAGGATGTGGGATCCGACAGCGTTGACCTTTCTTCCGCACTGCACGGGCTTGCGAGTCAGAAGCCTTTTACTGAGTTGCTGTTGCGGAACTTAATTTATGCTACCAGAATGCGGACATATTCATTATCATATATATATATACCAATTATTATGGATCTCAGTTTAAGTTCCTTAGCGGCAACCCATTTTAAAGTCCGCTCGACGCAGATTTGCACCTTGATCGTACTCACTGTAGGACCTCTCTCCACTGGAGACTCGAGACACCCTCCCATGTATGCCATATGGCAAAGCAGGATGAAAACTCCTAAACTAAGCAACCGACGTGGGGTCTCTGGCGCTGCTGCTTTGGCTTCCACCACCACCTCGGCGAGATGGCCACTCCGTTTAAGGTTTAGGGTCGAAAACCCTTTGCAAACAAAGAACGAAAAGATTGAGAACTGTACAATGCCACCCTATAATCCCTGTGTGGGGCATTCCACAAATCAAGAATCCCTTTCGGGGAGTCCCTACAATGAGGACCCTGATTTTAGAAACAAAACCTACACCCTATAAAACCACTGTACAACCCCAGTCTCCGTTTAATGTGCGTTGTCTTGTCTATCTGATTTCCCGTTGTCGGGGTAACATCCCTCTATGACCCCATAATCCTCTATAACCCTGGAATCCCTGCATAGCCCATATATCCTAAACCCTAAAGCCTAAATCCTTCACTCTAAACCCTAGACCCTGAGCAGCAAGTCGGAACCTAAACGCGAAACCCTACATAGGCAAGAAATAGCAGGTCACGCCTGGTTCAGGAGGCCTCTGATCCTCATCCTCCTTGCTCTTGTTTGAGGGTTGCATAAGGCTGTATAGGACTATACAATATAGGAGTATGTAGGATATATAGGATATAGGAGTATGTAGGATTATATGATATTATAGAGGGATGACATAGGGTTTTTGAACTAAGAAGGATTATGGAGGGGGTTTTTGCAGGATTATGTAGGATATTATAAGGGGTTATATAGGGTCGAGGGACAGTACTCCACTACTGGAAGATGAAATAGAAAATCAAATGAGTGGTGAAATGGAAACAGTGAGGAAAATTGCAGGGATACAGAAGGAAGAGGTTGAACTTCCTGGTTGCTAGAAGGGCATGAAAAAATGGAAAGATGGAAGCTACTATACTACTGCACATTCTGGGGATCCGTTCTTTCATTCCTTCTGTGGTGGAGACTACAAATCGTGCATGACTCCAGGCACCCTAAACCTTAAGAATTATGGGATTATAGTACACTATGGCCCCTAAACCTGAAACTCTTTGGCATCAGCACTAACAACAAGAAGGCCTCAAGTTGCCTGTTACGTTTTGAATCCCCTTTCCCAATTTTCAAGGCCCTATCCCCTGTTTGACATTTTCCCAAATAAGCTTATAGTGTACCACAGTGGGAATACTTGATATGGGGGGTTGGAAAGTTTCAACATTAAGGGGTGGGAGCGTGAGTGCTTCGTAACTTCCGCTGCACCCTTCTCGCTGTGCTAGATGTTGCTTATGTAAGTTTACCCTGAGCCTTACACCCCAGGAACCATCCCTAAACCTTAAACTTTTAACCCTGAACCCGAAACCCTAAACTCCTAAACCCTGAACCCCCCGAACCATCCTCGGTACGAGGATGCCCTCATCCTGACCACCCCAAACCTGCACGTCTTGCCGACATTAGTTTCTATTTGGAGGGTCAGGGGGACTTAATGAGTAGGTAGGGTTTAGGGGTTTGACATAGGTCTCTAATAACAACGTGGAGAACAGCGACTGGAGAATACTACGCTTCCAGAAGTCTTCGAAAGGAAATGATATTATCAACCTTTTAGGTTGCTTCATGCAACCACTTCCATTCCTTTCATTAATTTCAACCTGAACCTTATACACCCTAAACCCTGAACCCCAATGTTTGATTCAAGTTCCCGCTGGGAACGAGTCCTCCGCCTGGCAGATCACCCGGCACCAGCTTCTCCGAGAAGGCTTTTGGAGGGCTCGCCTCCACTGAAGCTCCGACTCCACTACTTGGAGGGTCATGGGGACTTGATAAGTAGGTTAATAACTAGGATAACTAGGGTTACTATATGGGTTATAGGGTCTATTAACCTACTTACTAAGTCCCCCTGACCCTCCACGTATTGTACGGCCCCTGTTAAGTAGATGTAAAGTAGGAAAAGGATCAAGGGTTAACCCCTACACCCCCCCCTTTACAAGAGCCCCAAATCTTCTGGAACCCCCCCCCTGAAAGGGCTGGGGCCTGCTCATCAATGCCAGGCCCAAGCCCGTCATGGCCTCAGGATCGTTTAGCGTTTAAGCTTTGGTTGTTTTGGAGGTTTGGGGATTTATGGCTGAGGCTTTGGGCTTTGGGGTTTAGGTTTTAAGGTTTATGTAGGGTTTCGGGTTTGCTGCGATGTGCTCTGAAGCAGCGGTTGTCATGCCACAGAGTCGCTTCGAGCACGTGGTGCTGTGCGACATGCTGCTACGGCCGGATTGTGGTGGCTGGCCATCTGGCACATTCACCCACCGCACGCCGTCCCCGGCGGGCAAACCACCCAAATCAATTTCCTTTCAAACCATCTTGGTCAACAACACTACATCTGTGAAACCCGCACTTTGCACTAGTACCAGGGGCCTGAAAAGAAGGACAGTTTTTGCCAACCCCGTTTGGGGCCACCACCTTGGCAGGCAACCAGTACTGGTTGCAAGCAGAACTCCTTCCGGTTCCCGGCCTATCGTGGGGACGCTGTACCCGTGGCTGTGCTGAGGCTGGACCGGGTAGGACGGCCTGCTCCATCGAGGGCAGGGGCTGCAGCACCGCCCACCATCGTATGTGGGCGGCCTAAGCCTTGAGATTAGGGTTTACGGTTTGCTGTTTGTTTTTAGATAGGGTTTGGGGTATGTAGGATTGTTTAGAATTCTTTTGGTTAAATTGGGAAAGAAAGGGTACGTAGTGTTCAGGTTTTCAAAATTCCGGGGCCCCTTTGGTGAGGTAGCCAGGATACGGATTAAAGTATATTAGGGCAGAAAAGGGGCCCACCCAATGTCCCCTAGGCACCCCACGACACACGGAGCAACAACCACACAAACCTTGAAGCCAAAAATCCAAACCCTGAACCCGCAATCTCAAACTCAAGACCCGAAGCCCTAAATCATAGACCCCGCAACCCTAAACCCTAAAC